CTGACTAGGAAAATGACAAGAACAGTAGCTTCTCTGGAGTCCAATACACTGAACTTGCTGGGAACAGACGCGAGTGCTATTTGCACTGTGTATGGCCAATTGAGCACAATAGTAAATCTCCTTACTAGAAAACAACTCTTGCTGCTAGGACCAGAAACTGCATGTGATTCAACTCCGTTTATGAAAGGGAATTCAACTGTAGCTCGCCCTACAAGAAACACACTCTGCTTTTGAGAAAAAAGCACTCTTCTACTCTACTGTGTTTCCTATAGAGCCAGAACAGTCAGCTTGCTCAGAACCAAAGATCTGTGCTTCCTACACACAAAGGCCATAACTAGTTCAACTCTGCTTAGGAAACTGACAAGAACAGTTGTTTCTCTTGCGTCCAATACACTGCACTTGCTGGGAACAGACGCGAGTGCTATTTGCACTGGGTATGGCCAAATGAGCACAATAGTGACTCCCCTTACCAGAAAACAACTCTTGCTGCTAGGACCAGAAACTGCATGTGATTCAACTCCGTTTATGAAAGGGAATTCAACTCTAGCTCTATTTGCACTGGGTAAGCACAATAGTGACTCTCCTTACCAGAAAACAACTTTTGCTGCTAGGACCAGAACCTGCATGTGATTCAACTCCTTATATGAAAGCTCATAGCACTCGTGTCTGTTTCCAGCAAGGACAGTGTATTGGACGGAAGATTAGCTACTGTTCTTGTCAGATTCCTAAGCAGAGTTGAACTAGATATGGCCCTTGTTTGTATTAAGCCCAGTTCCTTTGCTTTCAGCAAGGTCATTGTTCTGGCCTTACAGGAAACACAGTAGAGTAGAAGGGTTCTCCTTTCTCAAAAGCAGAGTGTGTACTTGTAAGGCGAGATAGTGTTTCTTTCTCCTTCATAAACGGAGTTGAATCACATGCAGTTTCTGATTCTAGCAGCAAGAGTTTTTTTCTGGTAAGAGAGTCACTAGTGCGCTCTTATTGCCATTCACAGTGCAAATATCACTCGCGTCTGTTCCCAGCAAGGACAGTGTATTGGAGGGAAGTGAAGCTTCCGTTCTTGTCAGTTTCCTAAGCAGAGTTGAACTAGATATGGCCCGTGTGTGTAGGAAGCACAGTTCTTTGGTTCTGAGCAAGCTGACTGTTCTGGCTGTATAGGAAACACAGAGTAGACGAGTGCTGCTTTATCAAAAGCAGAGTGTGTTTCTTGTAAGGCAAGATAGTGTTGCATTCCCCTCCATAAATGGAGTTGAATCACATGAACTTTCTGGTCCTAGCAGCAAGAGTTGTTTTCTGGTTAGGAGAGTCTCTAGTGCTCTCCCATTGCCATACACAGTGCAAATAGCACTCACGTCTGTTCCCAGCAAGTACAGTGTATTGGACAGAAGAGCAGCTACTGTTCTTGTCAGTTTCCTAAGCAGAGTTGAACTAGATATGGTCAGTGTGTTTCGGAAGCACAGTTCTTTGGTTCTGGGCAAGCTCAGTGTTCTGGCCCTATAGGAAACACAGTAGAGTAGCTCCTTTCTCAAATGCAGAGTGTGTTTCTTGTAAGGCGAGGTAGTGTTTCTTCCCCAATCATAATCGGAGTATAATCACATGCAGTTTCTGGTCCTAGCAGTAATAGTTGTTTTCTGGTAATTAGAGTCAGTAGTGAGCTCCCATTGCCATACACCGTGCAAATATCACACGCGTCTGTTCCCAGCAAGGACAGTGTATTGGAGGGAAGAGAAGCTACTGTTCTTGTCAATTTCCTAAGCAGAGTTGAACTAGATATGGCCCGTGTGTTTAGGAAGCACAGTTCTTTTGTTCTGAGCAAGCTCACTGTTCTGGCCCTATAGGAAAAACAGTATAACAGAAGAGTGCTCCTTTTGCAGAAGCAGTGTGTGTTTCTTGTAAGGCACGCTAGTGTTTCATTTCGCTTCATAAACGGAGTTGAATCACATGCAGTTTCTGGTCCTAGCAGAAAGACTTGTTATCTGGTAAGGAGAGTCACTAGCGTGCTCCCATTGACATACACAGTGCAAATAGCACCTTGTCGGTTCCCAGCAAGGACAGTGTTTTGGAGGGAAGAGAGGCTGCTGTTCTTGTCAGTTTCCTAAACGGAGTTGAACTAGATATGGCCCGTGTGAGTAGGTAGCACAATTCTTTGCTTCTGAGCAAGGTCACTGTTCTGGCCCTGTAGAAAACACAGTAGAGTGCTCCTTTCTCCAAAGCACAGTGTGTTTCTTGTAAGGCTCGCTAGTGTTGCTTTTCCCTTCATAAACGGAGTTGAATCACATGCAGTTTCTGGTCCTAGCATCAAGAGTTGTTTTCTGGTAAGGAGAGTCACTAGTGCGTTCCAATTGCCATACACAGTGCAAATAGAACTCTCGCCTGTTCCCAGCAAGGACAGTTATTGAAGGGAAGAGAAGCTACTGTTCTTGTCAGTTTTCTAAGCAGAGTTGAACTACATATGGCCCGTGTGTGTAGGAAGTTCAATTTTTTCGTTCTGAGCAAGCTCACTATTCTGGCCCTATAGAAAAAACACAGTAGAGTAGAAGAGTGCTCCTTTCTCAAATGCAGAGTGTGTTTCTTGTAAGGGGAGCTAGTGTTGCTTTCCCCTTCATAAACGGAGTTGAATGACATACAGTTTCTGGTCCTAGCAGAAAGAGTTGTTTGCTGGTAAGGAGTGTCACTACTGCGCTCCCATTGCCATACACAGTGCAAATAGCACTCGCGTCTGTTCCCAGCAAGGACAGTGTATTGGAGGGAAGAGAAGATACTGTTTTTGTCAGTTTCCTAAACAGAGTTGAAGTAGATATGGCCCTTTGTTGAGGAAGCACAGTTCTTTGGTTCTGAGCAAGCTTACTGTTGTGGCCCTATAGGAAACACAGTAGAGTAGAAGAGTGCTCCTTTTGCAAAAGCAGAGCTTGTTTCTTGTAAGGCGAGGTAGTGTTGCTCTCCCCTTCATAAACGGAGTTGAATCACATGCAGTTTCTGGTCCTAGCAGCAAGAGTTGTTTTCTGGTAAGGAGGGTCACTAGTGTGCTCCCATAGCCATACACAGTGCAAATAGCACTCGCGGCTGTTCCCAGCAAGGACAGTCAATTGGAGGGAAGAGAAGCTACTGTTCTGTGTTTAGAGTAGGTAGGTAGTTAGGCAGGCAGGCAGACAGACAGACAGACAGACAGACAAAACAAATAGAAGCAACTTTGAAAAGTCACGTTTACATTCTGGAAGTTGAAATTCTATATATGTGTTTATTTGTTCAGTGTTTAATGCAACAGAGGTTTCCAGCTTTAACTCTGTTCTAGGCCTAGGGGGCTAGGGCTGAGGTCAGTTAATGGCAGCTAGGTTTTTTTCTTTTGTGGTCAACATAGATCAAGTAAAATGCTGTGTGTTTACCGAGTGACTGACTGTTCATAAGTTATGAGATCTACAGGTTGGAAATGCAACAACCTGCAGCCACACCCGCCAAGGCTGAAGCTTATGTCAGGCCCATGGTAGTGAATGACCTCAGCAGCACTACACCCTGTGATTTTTTTTAATCAGTTTTCTATAGGAAAGCAACCGAGAAGAGAGAATTAGTTAAGCAAAGGCAAATTTTTCTCTTGTTCCATCACTGTTTTTCAAAAGCGGATGAGACATCAACAATGGTTTGCCGAAAATGATTTCACATAAGTCCTGTATGCCTTGAAGTGACAATGTAATGCAAATCGTTGCCTAGGATTGTCCCCTCACCGGTTATATGCAGCTATGTGAAATACCAGGTTTCTTAACCATTGAAACTTGTGTATAACTATGATAAGCAGGCCAGAAGAGGGAACCAGATCTCAGTATAGATGGTTGTGAGCCACCATTTGGTTGCTGAGAATTGAACTCAGGACCTCTGGAACAACAGCCAGTGCCCTTAACCTCTGAGCTATCTCACCAACTCCCCCCCCCATCTCTTTCTATCAAGATATAATCTGAATTCAAAAGTAGTTTGAGGGATAAACAGAGATGCTATGACTACACAAATCTGTACAATAGAATATTACTACTGATTCATACCTAAAGTAACCTGTATCCCCAAACCCTAGTGCACTAGAACTAAATGTACTAGATGATTTTCTGTTGCTCGCTGTTTTGAACTTTGAAAGTATAAGAGTAGTCTACCAATTTGGCCACTGGGACCTTGGTTATGTCACATCAAACAGCATCATGTCAGGGAAATGAATGGTCGACTACAAACCTCATAAGGTTTTCTTTTCCTATCTATACAAATAAAACATAGTGTTATTTGGCATGGAGTTGTTGTGACATTACATTCTTATTCAGACCCCCAAACACTGACTAATAACGAATGGGTTTTTGTATTTATACCATACAGACATTCAAAATTGTTGCCATGAATTAATTTTAGGAACTATAATTTGATTCATTGCAAATTTACTTTAAATGTAAGATATTTATACATTATAGCTTATTGGTGTCCCCCCCCCCCCTTCTATCACTATACTAACCATCTTTACAGGTGGGTAATTTTTTTTTCTTTTTGGTGTAATGACTCTGTTTTTCAAAGAATTCACAAGCACACCAATTAGATATATGAAGGCAGATTCCAAATAATACTTACAGGAACAGTGTAGCCAATCTCTGCCAGAATCGCACCATTTACCTACCAGTATCAAATCCCACAGTGAAGTTGTGTGTGATGGGAAATTGAAACCCTCTCTCAAATCCCACAGTGAAGTTGTGTGTGATGGGAAATTGAAACCCTCTCTCCATTGTTGTCCGTCTCATATGTTCAGAGTTAGTGAAAGGAGAATATTGGATTATGCACATTTGTCCCATATGAGTCAAAAGCGAATACTTGGGGGGTTGTATGAGACATCACCATTCACTCTTTGAAATAGGAGGGATGAAAAAATATCAGATTGGGTTTGGGGATTTAGCTGAGTGGTAGAGCGCTTGCTTAGCAAGCAAAAGGCCCTGGGAGTAGATGTAACCAACCTTCTTATTAAATAAGAAACACAGAACCAATGCAAAGAAGAAAGCCAAGAGGTCAGAGCTAAGAGCTAAAACCTTACCCTTCCTCCTGCGGTGGTCCTACCTCTCCGAACCAGAGCTTCCCGTGTGTTAAAGTCTTTATATAGAGTTCCTGTTCTGCCTTCTCATTGATTGTAAACCCAACCACATGACCGCCTCATCACAGCCTGTCTGTATAGACCTCCAGGTTTTCCATGATCGGTATTGAGATTAAAGGCATGTGTATCCAATACTGGCTGTATCCCAGAACACACAGAGACTTACCCAGCTCTGCCTACCAAGTGCTGGGATTACCAGCGTATGCCATCACTGCCCTGCTTTCCTATGGCTTGCTAATAGCTCTGACCCCCGGGCAACTTTATTTATTAACATACAAATAACATTTTAATACAAATAAAATATCACCATATTTCCCTTTTTCTATTTTAATAAAAAGAAAAAAAGAAAAAGCTTATAATTAACATAAGAAAACCTATATACAAAAGTACAATAACTATATACAATATATACAAGTAATAAATACCTAAACAATGTCTAGTTCATTTGTATTTGACAAATTCAGAGAAAATAATTCCATTATCTACCCTATTGTATCTAATTCACTTTCTATCTTAATTAATCTTCAACTATAACTAACTAATCTTCAACTCTCTCAGAGACCCAGGAAGGAAATAATATTAGCTAACAAAAAAATAAAAACAGGAAGCATATGCAAGCAACTTCCAAAAAATTGTGAGTTGACAGAAACAGCCAGCTGCCTGGACAATCATCTGAGGTTTCTCCGCAGTGTCGGGGCACCATCTTCAGCCTATAGGCTTAGTGTATCTTAGCGTATTTGGGAAGTAGGATGTACACAAGGTCAACAGTTCAATCTCACATTGGTGTGAGAGCAGTCTATATACCAGAAACACCTGAATTCCACTAGTGTCATGTCATGATTCAGGATTTTAAATTCTGGAAATTGTTGATGTTTTTTTGAATTCAGCTGTCCATTCTTCTTGGCTATGTGTGTATGTGGCTTCATCTCAGCATCCCGTTCTTCTCCACATCCCTCTATTAAATGCCATTCTACTGTTGAGAGACGTGCGCTTAATTACTCTTGAAGAATAACTGTTTCAGCCACTGTCCCATTGCACATCAGAAGCCATCGGCCCACTGCCTGTTCAGCTGCCTTCGAAGAAAAGGGCACTGTACTTTTCCCGGATTGGGAAGGCCACTTCAGGGATGGTGCCATATTGTCCATAACCACACTTGTTTTGACAAGAATCAGTAGTCCTTTGTTTCGTGTCCTGTCTGTCCTGTTTGTCAGCAGTTGATTTGAGGATACTTTGTTGTCCAGTGGCTAACTTTTGCCACAATGGAAGTTAACTCCAACTGCAGTTTTTTCAATGCCCATATTTTCTCTGAAGTAGATTGGTACTGCCAGGAGCCGGCATGTCTCATAGTCATAACGAAAAAGAAAAGTTTTCTAAGTTACTAAAACATTTTAAATGTCATATTCTGTAGATCTCTGAAGGGTCTGAAGATAACCTGTCTATCTAAAATATATGTACTCAATCTTTAAAACATACCTAATATAACTACAAGTTCTATTATAATGTCTAACTACTAACTTTCATTTTTTTATATCCTAATAGTTGGTAATAACAACATTCAAGGATCAGAAAATTGCATTACATTGTTAAATGAACGGTACAATTAGAAATATACATATAGCATTTTCTAACAATATCAATTTCAATGTATATAACTTGTATACAATATAAAACGATCCAATCCAATGTAAAGTATTTACATTTTTCTTTTCTTTCCTTCTTTCTTTCTTTTTTTTTTAAAATAAGAACCTTAAATCTAATCTCCTTTGCTTAGCCCTTTTCCTAACCCTTGACAACTTGTAACCAACCCCCCCAATCAATGAAAATTATCCCAGACCCAAGACCCATTAAAAGACCAAAAAAACCACCCCCCCCACACACCACCTCTTTGGGAATGTGGGCGTCACATTCTTGAAATCGCTTCCTGCTGGGTATGGGCGAAGGTATCTTTATCCTGAAAAGGAAAATTTTAGGTTAATTGTCAAATTCTAGGAAACGTAACTATATCCTTCGTTATCCAGTCTGTGTATAGTGCCAAAGTTCAGGGTCTATCTCAAATCCTTATTCAGGTAGTCTTTGAGACTGGAGCATCTCAGCTAGCTCTCTCAAAATTGCTCTGAGCACTTTGTAGTTCAAAGCTGATCTGTAGATGATGTTTGTCAGCTTAGTGATGTTATTACTGTCCACGTGGAATTGTTGTTGTTGGGCCCCAAATCTTCCTGGTTGTTACTGTCTCCTTATACTTGTGTCAACCCATAGTCCCTAAGGAAGCTTGGTAATCTTATTTATAAGGTTCAAGTTGGTGTTTTCCTTTCTCCTTCAGTTTTTCCTAGACAGTTTATTTATTTTACATGGCAGTGTGTTTAAGCTTTATTAGTAAGTGTCAGTGCTTGCATTCAAACTCAGTTTGATCTGATGATAGAGCTAACATAATTTACCCACATTTACATATCTCCTTGTATAAACAGCTTTGAATGGTACTTTTAAAACTTTTTAGTTAAAATACAAATATATTATTTTTTCTCTTGGTCATCCCTTTAGATAATATAAAACTCCCCAACTCCCTTTAAATAATATAAAATATTGAATCCCTGTCTCATTCAACCATCCATAGTGTTATTCATCATTCCCTCTTCCTCTCCTTCTGTATTTTCCTCCTTCTTTCTTCTCCAGTTAAAAGTCCCTCCCATTTTCCCCATTTCTCCTTCATATTACCTGTGTCCTCCTATTTCCCTCTTAGGGGTTCCCCTTGTCATAGCCCCATTTTAGTTACCTCCTTTCTGTAATCAGTTTTTGTTGTATACACATATATGGAGATTGAGGGCTAGGAACCAAAGGTGTGAAATAACATGGGGTATTTGTTTTTGTGGGTCTTGGTTATCTCACTCAATATAATATTTTCTAGTTCCACTAATCTACTGCATGGTTTCAATTTTCTTTACAGCTAAATGGTATTCTGTTATATACATATACCACATTTTTCATTATCTATTCACTATCTATTAATTGAAGGATATATAAGTTGTTTTCATTCCTAGTAATTGTGAACAGAGCATCAGTGAACATATCTCTGCAAGCATCTGTGGAGTAGGATGTTGTCTTTTTGAAGAACTGTCAAGAAGTGGTAAATCTGGGTTATATATTAGATGTATGTTTGGTTTATTGAAGAACTAATCACAATGATTCTCAGATTGCACTAGTTTGCAATCACACAGTAGATTATGATTCTATTTTCCTACATCCTCACAAGTATTTGTTGCTATTGGTTGTCTTGATTTTAGCCATTCTGAGATTGGTAATATGAAATCTCAAAGTTGTTCTAAGTTTTATTTACCTAATTTCTATAGGTAACGAATATTGGGTAGATATTTTTAGACTTTTTATTTCTTCTTTTGAGAATTTTTTTCAACTTCATTACCCACCTTCCTTGAGATATAGTGTCTCTTCATAGCCCTGGTTGTCCTTGAACTCATTATGTCGACCAGGCTGTTCTTCTAATCGCTAGAATCCACCTTCCTCTACATCTGGAGTACTGGTATTAAAGGTGTGAGACTATGCCCGTCTCTCATATCTCATTTTTAAATTGAGTCATTTGTTTTCTTAAGTCTTTGTTTTTTGGGGTACCTTATAGATTCTGATATTAAACTATTATCAGATATATAGCTGGCAAAGATTCTCACTTTGTAGAGTTTGCCTTCACTCAATGGACTGCCTTCTCTGCTGTACAAAGCTTTTTAATTTTGTGAGGCAATATTTGTCAATTGTTGACCTTAATTTCCAGACAAATGGAGTCCTGTTCATGAGATCCTTTCCTACACCCATATTCTTTTGGGTCCTGCTTCAGTTTTCTTCTGGAAGATCTAGAATTTCAGATTTTTCACTGACGGTTTTGGTCTATTTGCAGTTAGTTTTCTGCAAGATGATCAATATGGGTCTATTTCATTCTTCTACATGTGGACATCCTGTTATCACAGCACATTTGTTGAAGATGCTGTCTATTCTTCAGTGTGTATTTTTGGATCTTTGTCAAATATCACGTGACTGTAGTCATGTGTACTCATGTTTGTGTCATATTTTTTCTTCCATTGATCTATATATCTGTTTTTGCAACTGTAGGACACTATGTTTATTAATACTGCTTTAGAACATATTTTGAAATCTGGAATAAGTATTTCTGCATTGTTCTTATTATTAAGGATTGCTGTGGCTATCCAGAATCTTGTGTGATTCCATATAGATTTTAGGAATTTTTTCTAGTTCTTTAAAGAATGTCATGGTGATTTTCTTGGTGTTGCCTTGAATCTATAAATTGCTTTTGGTAGGATCATTATTTTCACAATGTCAGTTCTACCATTCCTGAATCAAAGGATGTCTTTCCATCTTGTAGTATGTCAGTCTCTTTATTCTGTGATTTAAAGCTTTCACTGTAGAATTCTTTCCCCTCCATGATTAGGATCATTGCAAGGTTTATTATATACTTTGAAGGTATTTTAAAAGGAAACAATCTCCTTCTTAGCCTGCTGGTGTACATAAAAACTACTGATTTTTGTAAGCTGAATTGTATCCTGACTCTACTGAAATTGTTCATCATTCAACAAGTTTTCTGGTAGAATATATATATATATATATATATATATATATATATATATATATATATATATATGTGTGTGTGTGTGTGTGTGTGTGTGTGTGTGTGTGTGTGTGTGTGTGTATTCTGTAAAATATGACTTTCTCTTTTTCTATAATTTCATTCTTCTGTTGCTTATTGTAGCTAGTGATTTGAAGATTGTACTGAAAGAGAGTTCGTGAACAGCCCTGTCTCACTCTTGATTTTAATTTATTTCAATGTTATTGCTTGAGTTTTCTCCATTGAGGATAATGTTGGCTGTGAGTTTGTAATATAAAGCATTTGTTATTTTGATGTGAATTATGTATTTTATTTGATGTATGCTTCTGTCATTCCTGGTCTCTCTAGAACTTTTAAAATGAGGGCTTTTTTTTTATTTCAAACACTGTCTCAAAATTATCTCTGCCAGTGCTAGAACTCAATACGTAGTCCAGGCTGATGTTCACCTCACAGATATCTAAATGCCTCTCTATCCTGTGTGCTGAGCTTAAAGCATACAGCAACAGTGTGTTGAATTTTTTAATCATTTATTTTTTATTTTCATAATTTTTATGTTTAATGTAAAAATTATGTGTGTGCCTGTGCATCAGTATATGGGTATGCGCACATGAGTAATGATAGTAATTCTTATTTTTTAATGTCTCTATTTTTCATATATGTGTGTATTATAAATTTTCTTATGATATTATTGCAATATATAGAATGCATTCTAACATACGGACATATAATACATGCATATATATGTATATATATATATGTATTTTGCTTATAATCACATCCTATTGCCTCATCTTGTCTCTCTCCCACTCTTACTGTTCTTATCCCTCTTCTATATCATTTTTTTCTACTCTAATGTCTTTAAATAAATTTGGTGACTCACATAGATCCTCAGGGAGAGACAGAACCTCATGAATCCTACCCTTCTCCATAGCGGAATGTTGATAGGTCTTATCCTGTGAATGGTCCTGGGTCATTAACCACAATTTCTGGGATTTCAAGAGTGCAATGAGCTTTTCATGCCCAGAAGTGAACTTTATATATGTCTCTACCTTTCCTATAGATTCTAAAATGTTTAAGAAACTTTATTTATTTAAAATGTGTATGTGTTTGTGTATATGGGTAAAGTGTCCATGAAGACCAGAAGAGGGTGTTGGATCCCCTGGTTCTGGAGTCACAGGCAACTGCCCAAAGTGATAGGGGTTCTGGAAACTGAACCCAGGTCCCTGTCAAGAGCAGTATATGTTCTTAACTAGTGAGCCTCTTCTCCAGTCCAGACCTTATATTTCTTCTGCTCCTTTCCCTTTTTTGTAAATCTTCCCTGAGCCTTTGAGAGAGTGATTTAGATGTCATATTTAGGAGTGAGCATTCTGTAGTCTTTTTTTTTTTACTTTGTTTAGTTAAAAATTTCTGTATAAATCTTTGCCCATGGTAAAATGAAACATTTTCTCTGTGTAGCTTTGTGTCTTTACTGGAACTTGCTTTGTAGACCAGGCTGGCCTCGAACTCACAGAGATCCACCCCTCGAGTGCTGGGATTAAAGGCGTGGACCACCACCTGACAAATGAACTTTTAAGACAAACATTGACAGCAATAATCTGAGGGTATAAACATAAGAATCTAAAAGCCAATTAGATAAGCATCACATTTCATTTAGTAGCAACAACAGTAGTTTCTGCACTAGGGCCTATGACATGCTTTTATATGTTTTAAAATACTGCATGTGGAGAGATGGCTCAGACATTAAGAAAAAATAACTCTACAGATGGGGATGATAACATCACAAGCGTCTTTCCCGTCTGTGCTGGATTTTTACATTGGATTGCTCTTCTAGATGTCTAGTGGGGATAACCATAGCAACTGTGAGTAAATGTGAATCATACCCATGTCACTCCCAGAATTAAGCCCTTTGTGGCACTCCTTTGGCTCTAGCTGTCTTTTCACCACATCTCCCAGAAAGTTCCCTGAGCCTTGAGTGTGAGTGGTTGTAGGTATTCTGTCACTTTCAATTTCCTTAATTCTTTTTGTATAATCTTATTTGTTCCACATAGTTAATAACATAACTTGAATATGGAAATATTTCCACTTCCAGTGAAGTCTGTGTGCCTTTGAGTGTATCTTTTTTTCTCTAATTTCAATAGCTAGACACCAGGTTAGGATGTAGTAAGAGGTGAGAACTGGTCTTTTAAAATTGTTGCTTAATAGGAAAATCAGTGTTTCTTAACAAAGTGAGGTGCTAGATGAAGGTTTTGTGTGATGTAGTTTTTATCACATGTATGAAGTTTCCCTCTCACTATTAACAAGTATAATTAAGAACTATTGAAATATTC